AGGGTCTGATTCATTACTACTAACACTTGGACTACTGCGGGGGGGGCAGCGGCCACAGAGGCAACGCCGCCCTCTGCAACGCCGCCCTCTGCAACGCCGCCCGCCCCCCGCCCCCGCCGGGATCACATCACCGCGGGGATATGCTGAGCGCATGTCATGGGGGTAGATAACGCCCCGAGTGAAACATCAATTGCACCGCTGGCAAGCCAACAAGCGCGCCTCGCGCCAGGCGTGGCGGGGCGGGGCGGGGAGGGGCCAACAGCCATCCACTTAGGGCGCCCCCTCTTAAACCTCTCACCCCTCGCGCTCTTCCTTACAACGAGGACGACTATTGTCCTGGCGGGCGGCCAATCCCTTCCTGGAGCCGCGCCGCCGCCGCCGCCGCCTCCCCCGCGGCTCGAGGCGAACTGGCAGGACCACCAGATTTGGGGAGAAGGATACAGGAGCCGACCGGAACCGCCGCAGGCAGCGAGCAGAGGATGAACAAAGAGCGCCAGGGGACCGCGGCGTGCCGTGGCCACCCATGAAAAAATTACGAATGATAATTTTTCTAAACCAACACCATAATGACGGTCATTACACGAACATGATAACATGAATGATAACGGGTGGGAATGGGTACCACAAGCAGGCCAAATGATGTTCCAGATAGAAGTGATATAATTCTATTGAGATACAAACAGATGTTATCTACTACAAATCAGTAACCCAATAAACACAATAAACTCACTAACTGGTCATTTGCAGCTTTTGGCTAGCAAGTCAAAATTTAGGTAGAAAGTCAGTCACTGTGACCAGTCAAAAACGGGAAATGACATCATAGAGAGTTTTTGGGCTCATTGAGAAGTAAAATCTAATACCTCCGCAAGAAAGAGTGCATGTTTACAGATACAAACCCAAATGTTAAATTTTACAAACTACTGTATGTCTATCCCAAATAAATACTTTACCAGTTAGTAGTGTGGAAATAAGTTAGAAAATTGAGTGATTGGGATAATTGTCAACTTAATTAGTTAACAGGTTTGTAACCTATTCTCACTAAAACATTGTGTAGTGATAAACACACACAATCAACCACATGTAGAGAAAGCAAACAACAAAGTGGTTGAAAGTACTGATTTTAAGCCATACAGTACGCCATACTTTAGTAACAAGAATCAACCCGAATCAAACAACACATATTTACTATACATACAGCCAGCACAGATTATACTCTTATACTCTTCAGTTCGATTGACAACCAGTGGAATGTGTAAACTGATTGCTTTGGAATATAGGTGGATCCAAACTTCGAGTTGGGCTTGTAGATGAAGTGTCGATGAGATCTGTAAAAGCAAAGACTTATGCCTTCCTCATCAACAAAATGTGAGGCTAAAGAGCAGAATTACTTTACTCACCAAGTTTGCTAGCAGTGCTAGGAGGCAACTTTCGCCTTTTCAGACCAGAATCAGCATGAAGTCGGCGCTGCAGTCCTGAGATTTGTTCAACACGCACAGTATCTCTGACAAGGAGGAAAATGTGCAAAAGACATTTGTTTAGAATATAATAGTATAATATGATAAAATAGTATAGTATATATATATACAGTATAAAATAGTAATATTGGAAATACCGAGTTTTAGTGAGAACTGGACAGGTAACTCCACTATTCTGAGTGGGTTCTAATCGCATTTGGAGGGAGTACAAATTTGCTAGTTGGACAAGCTGGTCCTTCTCCTCATTCTGCATTGGATGCAACCTGTAAAAGAATGCGTATTGAAGGTTTTCATTTTACAAAATAGACGGTTAGTGGCCTGATTATCATGTCAACAAATTCAATTCAACAAGATACCTCAGTTCACTTTGATTTAAGTCCTGAAGAAATCGTGATAGTTTCTCATTTGCTGATGTTAAGACAGTGAAACCACCACGGCTGTTTCGTAACCGACGGCGGCCAGCTCGTATCTGACGACCTTTCTGGAAATTTAGAGACTTCATAGTATAAACAAACAGGTTTAGCTGCGGGGTAGTTTTATGGTTTCTTTGACAAGAGAGTAGAACACACCATGCCTTCCCGGAGAGATCTTCTGTCCTCGGCAGACATGTGAAAGAATGCTTGGAACCCCCCTTGCTGAACTCCATCTAAGAAGAAATAAAAAAAAATGAAATGTTCAAAAGTTCAAAATTAATAGTGAGTTAACTTGTGATTTGATGAAAATATGGTACTAATCACCAACTTTAGCACATACCTTGACTGTTGCTGAGTGGTGATGATCCTTCATCATCCTCATCTTCCCACCATCCCCTGCCATCTCCTCCATACCAATCACTGTGCTCATCATCACCTAGTACCATTTAAAAAAAATAATTAAAATACTTTGATTTTTTTTTCATATTGAAAAGAAATTGCTTGCTGTCCTGCTTACCTTCACGGCCCTCATCAGTCGTGAAGAAGCCAGGGTCTGATTCATTACTACTAACACTTGGACTACTGCTAGTGAACTCAGCCCCACTCAATTCCATGCACTCTTCGTTAACACTGACGTGGGCACTACTTCTTCCTTTTGATTTGGATTTGTGGCTTCTTGAAGCATCTAGGTAAATGTTTAGGAAACAGATAAGATAGATTTTTCTGATATTTAAACTTAGATGGAAGAAAATTTTAAAATTTTACTTACTTTCTTCTAGCATAGGCATATCACAATCACCACCACTTCTGTCCCGTAAGCTCCGCTTCCTTTTCCCACACAAGACTGTGTTCAATCTAAAATAAATCACCCAAGCAATATAAGACCATGAAAGGAAAATTAAAAAATAAAATGTGTGTATTTGAATGAAAAATAATACCTATTTTCATTACTATTTGATGAATGTCGCAAGACTCGCCTCTTTTTGATTATTCCACCAAAGCCACCTGAGGTGGGGGCAGACCCTGATGGTCTGGATGGCAATGAGTGTGAAAAATTTGGAATGACTGGAACAGCATGTGAACCTGCAGGTATCCCTGAAGAGGTCGAAGCACCGGCCTGATCAGTAACATCAATAGCCATTCTCTTTAGTTTTCGTCTCCTAGAAAAAATTTTAAAGTAGAGTGTAAAAAAGAGAAAATATAGGAAAAAGGATAATTTGTTGGAAAAACACACAACTTAATAGGATTTTATAAAGAAGATCCATTACCTCCGGGTACTTGGGCGAATAGGTGAGAAATTTTCATTGACAGAATCTGATTCAAGGGCATGAATATGTGGCAGAACATGTCTTGTGCGTAAATTAAACGTAGCCACCTGACGAGCTGGGCTCATATCATCTGAATCACTCTGTCAGAGGAAATTCATCAGCACATTACTATTTTTGAACAGAAAATATTAACTTACATAAGCTTATATCATACCTGATGAAGACTAGAATGGCCACGATCTCTGTTGAGTAGAGCTTCGCTTATGCTGTCTGAATCATCACTTTGGGTTGCATGGAATGCCAAATCTAAAACACAAAATGTTTTAGTAATTTTAGTAAAACAATAAAAGAAAATCAACATTTAATATATTTTAGAAATGATTGAAAACAATCTAAAGAGTAAGATTTGTATTCTTACGTAGGTTGCCAGTTGAACGCGCTCTACGGCATAAGCCCCAACGTTTACGGTTGTTTGATGAGCACGTAGTTTCTTCCAATGCGTGGGACAAGTCATTGACCAGTGCTTCCATCCGCACTGCTTGTAACACTCGCTCCATGAACCTGTGAACCAAATGAAGTTTGGCGGTGTAAGTTATTAGATGGATTGTCTGTCAAACCAGGTCAAATGTGTCTATTGTGTTTCTACAATAGGCTTTTTCATGGAAATGAAAGCAGTTGAGTAGGGCAAGAGGTGACACACACCTGAGATGAGTGAAACAACTTAACCCTACAAGATAAAATTGATAAAAGGCCAACACTGATTTGATTGTTTATTCTTAGGACTTAAAACATATGCTATTACACTACTTACTAGAGAGGACTTCTCAGCTTTCGTAAATTAGACAAAACAAGACACTTCATACAGGCAAACAATGTACAGACGACGCTGAACACACATACGTTTCGTTTCTCCTCATTTCATTCCATTCACGCGTTCTTTGCCAGTTCATTTTCTCTTTAACATCGCTGTTATCACTGTCCTTCTCTTCCTCTATTTGTCTGCTCTATCCTGTTTCTGTCTGATTCTATTCTTGACTGATGTAAAACATATTAGTGTTGGTGGTCGGAAGGGCCATGCTAGATGTGCGAGACTTTATGTCATGCGTGAGAAGAAAAATTTACGAAGACATTTGTAAACAAAACTGCCGGTGCGGATCCTACGTCTGTTTATTTATTAATAATAATTATTTATTAATAATAATAATTATTATTTGGAGTACCGGAGAACGTTCACCCACTTCTCATTTTACTGGTAGTGAAGTTTCATTTCATGCAATGATACTCATTTGACAGAAAAATTTGACTTAAAATTCTATGGTATGATGTTGAAATGTTCAGTCACATTATTTTGAGGTTAAATTTGAATACCTTATGACCTTATGTTCAGTGAACTATTTTTATTTCCCATTTCAGGAGATGGGAATGGAAGATTCTTTAGTTGACCCTGAACAACAAATACCAGAGACTTCTTCTGTTTTATCAAATGACACGCATCAAATGCAGGAGCCACCAGGTGTCGCAGAGAATGAAACTAGTGACGACAAAGGAGATTTGCCAAAGGAACTTGTAGAGAACGACCCTATTTACAATAATAATTATCACTTTTTCAAAAGTGATGATGAAAATGCTTTAAACAAAGAGCCTCCCCTCACCTTTCAAGACTTTTCACAGTTTAACTTTGATAGTTGTTTCACTAAGGGATGCAAATGGTATAGTTCTATTGATTTTCCAATTAAATTTAATGTGAACGCAAAATATGTTCCATCCTTATCTTTTTCATTTTTACAGGGCGCCCGATGGATTATGTTTCTTGACTAATAGCAACGATAATGTACTAAGGGTTTGGGATTTACCACAGACCTTCCACAATTTGAAAGAGTGGGAAAGAAATACTGAGGTGTCCTCTTTACATCCCTCTCTGTCCATGAAAGAGGGTGGATTAATTTATGATTTCTGTTGGTATCCTTTAATGAACTCCTGGAATCCCGTGACATGCTGGTGTGTATACTCTATAAAACCGCTAAAAGACAGCTCAATAAACAAAACACAAACAATAAAAGGAAATCATTGAGAGAATAATTTTTTTTCTCTTGCAGTCTTGCAAGTGCAAGTAGAGATAGCCCTGTTCATCTTTGGGATGCTTTTAGTGGACAAATTCGAGCTACATACCGAGCATACAATCAGTAAGTATTGCTGTCGAAATGCATTCAAAAATGTTCTTGTCTATTTATGAATTTAAACTTACTTCCTTCTCTTTCTGAAGGGTTGATGAAGTTGAAGCAGCTCGCAGTATTGCATTTGATCCAACTGGTGAAAAACTTTATTGTGGTTTTAAAAATTGTGTCAGGGTTTTTGACGTAAGCCTACCCGGAAGACAATGCAATACTAGAAACCTGAAGTGTAAGTTTAATACAACATGGAAATGTGCTACATCTTTGTTGGAATTTTGACAAGTCAAACTTTGGCCCAATTTTGTACTCTTATGGATGATAACTTACCTTTACAGCTGCATCTGGTGATACTCAAAATGGCATTGTCTCATGCATCACTGTCAGTCCTGCAGTTCCATCACTCTTCGCTGTAGGAACCTATCTCCGAACCATAGGTTTGTTGAAGTATTTATTCAACTTCGTATTCTGCATTTTCAATTTTCCCACTCTGTTTTGTTTCATACTAATCATTCTTTATCTGAAGGACTATACATGGAAAACACAGGGAAAGCTCTTTGCATTCTACAAGGTCATGAAGGAGGAATAACTCATATGAAATTCTCTGAAGATGGTCTGCGTTTATATAGTGGTGGAAGAAAAGATTCTGAAATTTTGTGTTGGGATCTCCGAGAACCTGGAAAAGTTCTCTTTTCAGTGCCTCGTCCAGTTCTGACCCACCAAAGAATATACTTTGATATTACTGCAGATGGAGAGTACCTTCTTTCTGGTCAGTTGAATAAGTTCTGAAGTACAGTATCTCCGTGTTCTTAAGAGACTTCAGTGTTATGTATTAATCTTTTTTATTTAGGAACACCTGATGGGACAGTCTATGTATGGGAAACATCAGGTGCCATAAGTGAGGAAGGAACCTTAAAGGATCCCATAAAAGTATTTAAAGCTCACAATGATTGCACAAATGGGATAAGGTGGGAATAATTATTATTTTTCATCAACTCAAGTATATTGGTATTAAAAATATGTTTATAATTTGGCTTCTATTTGGCAGTGTTCATCAACAATATCCATTATTGGTGACCTGTTCAGGACAGCGACATTACATGGAAAATTCTGACTCTGAAGATGAGGTTGAAAGAGAAGCAAAGAATAAATCATCCCAATCAATTGAGAACAGTGTAAAGTTATGGTGGCTAGGAAGTGGAAAATTATCAGATGATGCTATTCGTGATGATTAGATTATCCACATCAGTAACATTTCGTTTTATATCAAGGCAACTGCAGGAGAAAGATACTGGCCAAATCAATTCTTTCTTGCCAATATCCAGCTTATTGAAAACAAAAGGAATAAAACCCTTAAAAACAGATTGTAGAAACCTATGAATTTCCTTTGAGAACAACAATCCACAACACAAACCAAGTTGGAAAAAGGAATGTGGTGGCAACACTTAACATCCAATTGCCATAAACTGCATAGTCAACAAAGCTGAAGGTAAGTGCCTGAGTGAATGCATGTATGGCTTTGGCTATAATTGGATCATCTGGGAAATGAATTGATGTATAACCCAAAATCAGGAGGGCTACCAGGAGAAGAGGTTGCACCAACAGCCAACCTAAAATTCTCAGTAACCTGGTGGGGAAAAATAAATGTTGTTCAGTATAGGAAACAGATTTCAATGGCATGTGGAGAGAGCAAAATAACAACAAAGATAACAATGCCCAATATTACCTTAATTTCCTTCCATTAGCAAAAAGAGCAAATGGCACAAATACTATTGAACAAATCACAGCCAGTGGAAAGTTATGCAAAGACACAGCCAGGAGAATAGTTGCCAATTCTATCAGCCCAATCACGTAAAGTAAAAGAATAGCATCAGAATGCCTGAAAGCAGAAAATTTATTGTGAAATCATGAAAGAGTGCAATAATATTATTTAGCACAAGCTGCTTACGTAGACACTTACATTGATTTTAATACTGGTAAGAAGATTGCAAGAGTGGTAAAAGCCACTAACCCAACAACCATAGCTAAAGATGAGTCAGCTATTGATGTTATGTACAGGGCTGACCACACCGGCACTCTAAGTAACAAGACCCCCAAAGCATGCGCTGCCAAGACAGTCAGACCCACAGAGGCGAAACAATTACTAATCTCTTGAGCTCTCTGGAGAAAAAAAATATGGAAGTAAATGGACATAATTTTAAAACAAGAAATTTAGTTGAAATCACAAATAATTTTGTAAACATTTAAACTAAGATTAATGGCATAGAAAACAGACTGCTCTACATACTAACCATTAGTTTTTCCTTGTCTGATTGCAAGGATGGTAACTGGAGGCTCCTCCAAACGGCTAAAGCTCGTAAAAGTAATGTGCTAGCCATAAGCCCTACAGCTGGTATGTAAACACCTATAAACAATGCAAACTTAGTAATCTATTTATTTTCACCCATCCCATATATATTGTAATTAATCTATAATAAATTGCGGTAAATTGTATCCCACCTATTGAAATGTAACGATCTGTAGCAGATAAGAGGTAAAAGAAGTAGGACTGATGGAATCTCTCAAGTAGATTGTTCAGGCTTCTTAGTATTCCTTCTAGTACCCTGAAAAAGGAAACAGTTTTCAAAAAAAGAAGAACAGATAAAATTATGACACAAGTTTGAAACAAACAGACAATTGACAATAAGTTGATCATACCTTCCAACTTGATAAAATGTAGCTGGACTCCCTCTATCAACTTTCCTATACCCAGTTAAAGTCACTGCCTCAATTCCAAACCTGTGTAGAGTCAAATAGAATTAAATCTATAAACATATTTATAACCCTTAAGAAAACCTTTTACAACTTTTCTGAATAGAATTTTATACTGTTGGCAAAGACACTTGTAACTTTCTGGAACAATTAGCTGCAACACAACTCACCTGTGAAAGAGACCATGGTTACCATTGGGAACTCCTGAAGCTTGAGCAAACACCATTTCTAGCATTGTGCGTAGAGAGTATGCCCACGTTTTATAGGGATCAACTTTACTGTATTCTCGATCTCCATAGTTAGCCTAAGGATTTCCATTACATTGATTAGCTAATCTACTTCAAAGTGTAAATATCTGGTTAACTTATAGTAAACATCAATTTAAAAATATTATTTTAAATACAAGGATTAAAGACTTGCCCTGTTGTGGAAAGTATGATGAACACCTTCCTTGTTACAAAGCATGTGTACCAAATTTACAAGATCTAAGTTGGGCAACTGACCATTAAGCCCTTCAATCTTTACATCAATGTGGCTGATTCGATCTGAGAAGAGCTCAAGATTGACAGCAGCCTGTAAGATTTAATAGACTAGTGATTGATGGTTACATACAAAATATAATAATTGCACTGGGTTTAACATTATGAAATCCGACCTGAATAGCCCCTCCTCTGCTTACAAGGTCTCCAGACATTAAAACACCATCACGGCCAGATGAAGTCTTGTGGTATGCTTCAAGCCATGCTTGTGCTCCAAGTTGCTCATGCTCAGTTATGAGGAAAATAAGGTCCTTGGCCCAGTACTTTTGTCCTTGCGCAAAAAATAAAAGTTAAAGAAAAATTTCATAAAGGTACCAAGATAAGCTCAACAGACGTAGAACTCACTGCGGCAAAATTTAGCAATTGCTAAAATGAGTGCTACTCCAGCTGCTGTAGAAGGATGCACACTTTTTGACCCTCTAAATGGCACGGACAATACAATCGCCTCAGTACTTGAACCCCGTGGTGCTCTCAAAATTCCATACACATTTTGACCTTCATAGGCCTACCAAGAGAAAAATATTAGCCTTGCTCAGCAATGTTTGGTAAAGATAATTGATTAAAAATCTGCATTTTAAAAATTACCAAATCACGAGATAAAGGATAATTCACAGTAAAGTTGTGAGTATACACATCAAGTCCAATCTGACGAAATTGTGCAAGGAGCCATGAATATGGCATTTGTGTTGGATGTGAAGATATTTCATCCTGCAGGGATGCGAGTAGAGTTTTGGCATAGGAATCTTCTACAAAGCCACCCTTCACTAAACCTGGTAGTAGTGAATTCTCTGAAAAGTAGGATGCTTAACATCCAATAAATGATAAGTCATTAAACTGCCATCATTTAAGGTATCTTTTAATGAACATGGGATAAACGGTATTAGTTTACCAGATTGAATGTGGTCTGATGGTAGAGCAAGGAACCAGATAAGGCCCCCTAGGTACATTAAAATTTCTAGTTTAAGATGGTGTTTTACCATTAGATAGGTCGGGCGTCTGCATCCCTCGGGAGGATCCAATAAAACAGGCATTTTGTCCTAAAACTAGACGACAATACAAAATTACAAATTTTTTGACGTATCAAATTTATGTTGTCAATGCAGACTAACCTATAACATGTTATAGCTGACATATCAGATGCTACGTTTCATGTGATTACTTACATGTTCCACACACGAGAAAGACTTCACTAAGCTGGAATACACATGGATTTAAAAGAAAATTGTAACTGGTTTTCAGCAGTTACCGAAAACAATTAATGTTATTTCATTTCATTTCAACTGACGATTGATAGCAGATAGCAGACAATTATTGTACCGCCCGCAGCCCGGCAGAATCCAAACAAAGTGTGCGCTGAGAGGCTATAAGCTGAGCATGAGAAATACTACGAGAAGCTAGCCACCTCCGCCGTGAGTATGAGAATTATGTAGTCGAGTGAAAGTCTTGTGGTCTTGTGGCTGTCACCCAATGACAACAATGAATTTTTGTTTGTTTATGGTTTAAGTGGCTAAATATCAAAATACTTTGTGTTGAACATGAATCCTGCTATTTTTAAAGATTCTGAAGATTTTAAGCTTAAAAGGAAACGTCAGATCGATACATTAAAGATTTTTAATGACAAGTATGTTGTTTTGCACTTATGACAAGGTTAATAGATTAACTCAATTTGAAAACTTAAATTCCAGAGTAGGATTCAATATATTTTCGAGGCTTTCAAAACATAAATTTTATTTCTCACATTGGAATTTGTTTTGTAAAACAGCGTTCAAGAAATCCAGTCTGGTGCAGAGTATCGTGTTGAGTTTTGGTTAGATTCTCGTCGACTGGCCATATTAGTACAGCTTGGCCCTGACTTTCCTCTGGAAAAGCCAATTCTCCTTGTCTCACCAAATGTTGGTCACGCTTGGGTGGATCACTGTGGAAGAATTACGGCAGCTCCTGGTCTCATTAACGTCAGTACCAACAGATTGTTTATAACACTGTTAATAATTTACCATTGAGAAATGGATATTTAAAGTTCAATCTCATTCTAACATATTCTTCTGTTTGTTCATGTTACAGTTCACACAACATTCAGATCTTGGCAGAGTAGTTCATGCTATTGTTCGAGAATTCGAGTTGAGACCACCAGTTTGGATTGGATCTGAAACCTCAAGTAAAATATTTATCTTTTTAAAATTTAGGGTGTTAAGTTCTTACACTATTGTTTAATTTTTGAACTTTTACAGGTTCTGCAGTGGAACCAAGTATCCCAACTGAATCTAGTGCACAGGCTCCAGTTCCAAACATGTCTATGTCTCAACCTACACAACAAACACCTTTACAACAGATGGTGAGTTGAAATCTTCAGCTCTCTCAGTAAGGGGGGCTAGATAGTATTTCTGTACTGATCAGACTCATCAAATTTAAATTTTTTTCATTTCAGATATTTCCAGAATTAGCTGAATTGAGTGTTGAAGAACTTCAAGCATTAATGGACAACCAGGATCGCCGTAATGAGTTCATTGAACAGCTGCCTGTGTCTCAAGAACTCGATGATCAGCTTGATCAACTTATGATATCTATTGAAAATTTAGCCAGTAAGGAATCTTGTTTTACTCTCAATACTCACCATATCTCTCAATTGTGTCTTGACTTGTATTCCATTGTTTGGGAATCATTTTATCATTTTTATTCTCATTTCACAGAAGAAAACTTAGAAAAGGAGTCAAAGTTGAAAGAACTTCATTCAGCTTGTGAAGAGCGAAGACACATTTTGAATGAAGTCCATTCCTCCTATGAGGAATTGGGTGTTCAGTTCCAGTCCCTTGCAGATTGCAGAACACCAGCAAGTATTAGGGTAGGATAATGTCTCTAACATAATACCTCATAATGCCCACAATAACATTCACTTAATGCTACTAGTAAATAACCTTTCCCATCCTGTATTCAGGAAAGTCTACGGGCAGCTACACGTCAGGCTGATGAAGAAAGTGAAAGAGTTGCTGAACATTTTCTCTCAGGGGAAATGAATTTGGATCAATTTTTAGTAGCTTATGTAAATAAACGTATGGTATGTTTCGGAACATTTCCTCTTCATTCTACAACCTCAAATGATGATAAATTAAAGTGTGAGACAAAGTAAATTTAATTTTATCTTGAAACTATTCCAGATGAGTCATATACGAAAAGTTAAAGAAGAAAAACTAAGTCAACAACTACGTGATCTCCTAAAGGCAGGATACTGAGATATATTTCTATGTGGGGCACAACTTTTGGGATTATGTTTAATTGAAACCATATTTTATGAAATTACCAATTTTTGTTTTTAAAAGAAGAGGCAGAGGGGATGTATGCTTATTATTTATTTGTTTTTTCTCAAATTGTTATGAAACCTATTATGTAAACAGAATGAATTTTCTCAAAACTCGTGTTATGTTTTCCTTGGAAAGGACCGCTCTTGGTGTTCCCTACCTTTTGTACTATTTTGATATTATTAATAAAACAACAACAAAACGCGCGAAGACATATAATAACGATGTCGTTTTATGCCTTTTGAACTTCCCGCTTTACTAGCTTTCGACAGGCAGATGTCGAAAGTGTAGCAGGGGGAGGGGTAGGGGGGTGAGGCGGAGTGGGGGAGGGGAGAGCGAGCTCAAGTCCCAACTCGTGCGTCGCCGCGAAAAAAGGGTAGTCGGGTCGGACATCATTCGTTCGTTTGCCTGTTTGTTTGCGAAAGAAGATTTTGATCTTGCCACCGTAAGTTTTATTTTGACAGTCTGTTTTTCAGTATCCACTGTGAATTCTCTGTCGTCTGTTCATCGGGCTGTGTACTTCGTTCCGGAGATTTTCGTTGATTCCATTGAAAAGACAGTGCACCTTCCACACGTGCTTCACCCGCGCCGGCGGTTTGTTTTACCATCACCTTTCAATGGTCTCTTGTAAACTTGTTGCGATTACTAGCAATTATTGTGAGATGAAACAGATGAAAGGTTTCTTCATATCTTTCTAGCTTAAACCAAGTGAAACAAGTCGTTAATCATATTCTTGTTAATTCTTATTGTTTGCATATTTTTGTGCACTCGTATCTCTTGTTGCCGTGACAGAGAGGCTTGAAGTCTCTTGTTGCTCATTTGGTTGATAACAGCTCATTTGAGGTTCCATCACAGTGAAAACAGTAAAAACAGTAAACTGCATCAATGGAATGTGTTGGCCTTTCTAGGAAAATGGTTGCTGCACCGGTATCTGCGTTTGAAATGTATCAAAATCAAAAGAAAAAATCCAAAAATAGGTCGTCCAAGAAAAAAGACAAAAACAAGCAGGCTGTTAAAATAACACCCATGGTCTCAGCAGAGCTTCTTAAAGCTGTTTCTGGAAAATCAAAGAGGGATGAGGCAGATGCTGAGCAGCCTTCGAACGCTTTGTCAAATAATGAGGAATTGCAATTCAATATTGTTGAAGGTAATGTTTTCTGTGTGTCCCTCCTCAGTCTACAGCATATTAAGCATAAATTAATCCATTAATTATCTGTTTTAAATTCACAATTTCGTTTTAGGTTCAAATCATAAGAAGAAGATGGGTCAGGACAAGCAGGTAGATGCAGAAATAACTAGCCCTAAGAAGAAAAATAAGAAGTGAGTATTCTAATTTCTTTTTGTTTTCTATAAGCCCTAGAATACATTTTTGGTTTTAATTTTATTTAGGAAGAAGAAGGTTCAAACTGAAAATTTGGTGGGTACTGATGACAAGGTCAGCGAAGAACTGACTCCCGAACCAAATATTTCTCATAATTTAAATTCGAAGAAAATAAAATCCAAACCGAAGAGTGTCTCGTCTCCATCTGAATCTATTTCTCTATCCAAGGCTGACAGTAGCATTGAATCAGCTGAAAAGTTTTTCTCTTGGATGATTGATCCTATTGCAAAAGATGATTTTTTCAGGTATGGCATGGTTTGTTTCTGTACGATTTCTAGTTGTAACTACAGTACTATATACTGTAACTTAGTATTTCTTTGCAGCCTATATTGGGAGAAGAGGCCAGTACACATAAGTCGAGAAGCTAATCGGGACTATTATACTAATATTTTATCCACCAAAGCTATTGACGAGATGTTCAGGAAACACAATATTCTCTTTGGTAAAAATATTGACGTCACATCATACAGCAATGGAAAGCGAGAAACTTTAAATTCTGTAAGTAGTCTTACTCTTTTTGATATTATCATATTAGTTGGCATCATTAAATCCATTTGTTCCCTTTAAAGATTGGTCGTGCCCATGCAGCTGTTGTCTGGGACTATTATCGCAATGGGTGTAGTGTAAGACTCCTCAATCCTCAGACATATCACACTCAGTTAAGAGAATTAAATACCAGACTTCAGGAAGTATTTGGTTCATTTGTTGGAGCTAATGCGTATCTCACGCCTCCAAATTCTCAGGGATTTGCCCCGCATTATGATGATATTGAAGCATTTGTTTTGCAAATTGAAGGCAGCAAAATGTGGAGAGTTTATGCCCCAAGGTTTGTCTTACAATTCAGAGAAGTAATTCAATTCAATTACTGAGATTTTTGTCCTGTTGATCTATTTGTTTGTCTATTTCAGGGATTCAAGTGAGAAACTACCCCGAACTTCTAGTCCCAATTTCACTCAAGAAGAAATTGGGGAACCTATTTTGGAAGTCCTAGTTAAAGCTGGAGACCTACTCTACTTTCCTCGTGGTTTTATTCATCAGGCCAGCACTGTTCCTGGAGAACACTCTCTCCATGTGACAGTGTCAACTTACCAAAGGAACTCTTGGGCAGATTTACTAGAGAAGGTGTGCTGTCTCCCTTAAGTTGTTAAAACAGGTTGCCATCAGTAAAGCTAATTATAATTATTTTCTCTCTATTTCCAGCTAGTCCCTGCCGCTTTAGCTAATGCCATTGAGGAAGATGAAGAATTTCGCAAAGGAGTGCCCCTTGATGTGATGAGCCATATAGGTGCTGTGCACTCTGATTCAGAGACTCCAGGCCGAGAAGCTGTTATGAAGAAGTTAAAAAAGCTGTTCTCAAAGCTCTTTGAATACGCACCTGTTGATGCTGCTGCTGACCAAATGGCTAAGGAATACATTCATGATGCCCTTCCTCCCTGTTTGTCATCTGGTTTGTATTCTACTAATTCTTTAATTTGTTTATTTCTAACAATTTTTCAAATTTGTGTTATCTAATGTGCCTTTTTCAAATATGGTATTACTTCGTTACCTCACAGCTGATTCATTTTTTTTCTAAAATTTCCATTATTTTTGTCTAATTGTTTATGCTTTCCTTCAGATGAGAAGAAGTGTTCAGTGCTTGAGAACAGCGAGAGAATGGGTTCAAATGGAAAATTACAAGGAGCAGTTGTTTTGACTCCAGACACATGCATACGTCTGACTCGCTCTAATGTATTAAGGTTTGTCTCGTAACTAAATTTATTGTTGAAAATTCTCATCAATACAATCTTTCTATTGGCAATTATGTTTCCTTTTTTTGTTAGATTGGTGTCTGAAGAGGAACCAGACACCTTAAAAATTTATCACTCAATGGAAAATTCTCTTGAATATCATGGGGAGGAGCTCCAATTCATTGAAATTCCCCTGAACTTTGCTCCAGCTGTTGAGCATTTAATTCATTCATATCCTAGCTTTACTGCTATCTCTGATCTTCCCCTTGATCAAGATTCAGACAAGGTTTGTCAAAATCACGCTCTTTCGATCCTAGCATATACAGTTTTTACTTGTTTTGTTCTTCACCAACACTAATTTATTAAATGTTTCAGGTACAAATCACAACTGAGCTATGGGAAAGAGGTCTTGTCCTTACTGAGAAACCGTTGTCCTCTCTGGAGTAAATAACTTGTGTGAGTATGTCTTTCGCTAGTGCCATCTTTAATTAGTAAGGTGCTCCTAGTATTGCCTCTTTTGAAACCATTGAAAGAACCTCTTGGATGATAACTTCCTGAAAATTCAGTTGACTGACTCAAGGTTTCAAATACTTGTAAGATTATGTTAGTACACCAGTATGGTGTAATGTGGACTGTGATCACTAGCTGATGTGCTTGGAGCAGCTTTCTTTCCTGTCAACTTTTTGTTGTCATTTATTTGAAGTTTTATTCTGTATGGAATTTCTGAATAGAAAGTTAAGGAAGAAATCCAACTCTCACTTACTCCTAGATATTTCTTTGCACATCCCATTGTATTTCTTTGATCACATTATTTTTACACTTTAACTTGGCACTACTTAGTTATATTTTCTTTTTACAATATTTTACTTATGTTTCTTATCACATTGGAAATAGATTAAAGTTCTAAGAAATTCATTTTTCTAAACTATTGCAATTTTTTGACCTGTCACACAACATGACTCGCACCACAATTCTCAGACCTGTATCTTTTGCAATTACAAATCACAAGGCATTTGGAATTCAATTTTCTTACAGCAGTAAAACTTTTGGACTTTAACAATAAATTTCAGCTTAGTAGGTCTCTCTGTTAAATAAGCTTGAAGTCTCTTCCTCTCCTGGTCACTTGGTTTGCATTCCAGGCAACTCTTTGAGGGGTGTGGGATTTGCCATCATCTCTGCTGCACGTTTCTTACTTTGATTGCGTCCAACAACATATTCTGCATAACTAAGATACCCATCATTATTTGTGTCATCTTCTCGCAACACCTCATCGATAAGTTCAATGTAATATTCCATTGATACTGGTTCCGTGTGTCCTTCTTGCCCTTCAGCAAGAGAATTTTCATCTTCCCCTTCATGGCTATGGGATTCATGTTCTTCTGTATGCATGATTGCTCTCAGAATCTCTAAACCGTCCAGTTTTATGTTTTCATCCAAGTCGTGCAACCTTTTAAAACAAAACAAGTCATCTTTCAATCTTCCTCTAGACCTTGGCCAGATATAAAGTTAAGCAGTTAAGCTTAAGAAAAATCAAACTAACTCCTCAAGACAACTTACTTAAAGTAATGAAACTGCAGTTCTTCTGGGGTCATATTCTCCACGGCCTCCTCAGTCGCCCATTTCCCCAGGTCCTCGCGGATGTGCCTGTGAACAGAGGGTCAGTTAAGTTGCGGATGCGATGCGCCCGAAATGTCCGTGTGCGAGAAGGAAATGCAGACGCACTCTTTGTCCTGCAGCAGCTGGTCGTCTTGGATGAGTTTGGTGTGCTGCTCGGGGCTCGGGCGGTAGTGGTAGTGCTTGATGACCTCCCCGCGCGGGTGGTGCGGTCCGCGCATGCCGAACACGGAGGACGGCCACAGCACCAGCACCACGAAGGCCGTCACCACGGCCACCATGAGGGGGGACGGTGGCGGCCCAGGCAGGTGGCGGTACCGCTGCACCGAGAGAGGGGAGATTAGACTTGTATTAATGGTGTAATACACCTTATGCGGTCCTGGTCCAGACCTGGTAGGTCCTACCTCGGCCTCCACGTTGAAGTTCACCTCCTCTTGGGAGCTGTCTGTTGGCGTCCGCTGTTGCGGCGGCGGCCGTGGGGAGAACTTTGGGCCCTCTGTAGTATAATTGTGAAGCTGTGGGGCTGAGCCGCTGCCGTCCTGCTCGTGGGCGTCCGGCGAAAGCTCCGTGATGCGACTGCTGGGCTCCAGGGCGGCCTTGACCCGGGCCTCGAGCTCGGCGCGGCTCGACGTCCACTCCCCGTCAGACTCTGAGCTCGTTGTGAAGTCCGAGTCCCTGTCGAGAAGGGGGCGGCGGCGGGCCCTGGCCTCTGCCTTGGCCGCCTTCCTCGCCGCCTGCTTGGCCTCCTCGGCCTTCTGCAGCTGCCGGGCCTTGAGCCTGGCCTCGGCCAGGCCGGCGCCTTCCGCGTCGTCGTAGAAGTACTTGAGGAATTTGAGCACCTCCATGGCGAGGAGGGGCTCTTCGTCCGAGTCGGCCGCTGCAGCCGGAGGCGGTGCAGGCCCGAGGGCCGCACGCTGACGCACGCTGGGCCCCGCCAACCTGCGACACAAGGGGCTTTAGAGCGATGATGATGACCGAGAACAACCTTCCCCTCATTTTGCCATGTAAGTCGCGCCCTGTTTGGTTATACTATACCGCATGCAGGCGTGCGAACGGGTTGCATATAGTCCGGCCAGCCAAAGGTGACGCCTGGCGTAGCATGGGCTTATGGGCGGCTACAGCAAACCCAGGCGTCACCTTTGGCTGGCCGGACTATACTTGCATGGGGCCACAAAGCGCCGTGGTGAGAGTCAGTAGGCCAGCCCACCCATTCCGCCCATGCCTTGTGTGCGGTACAGTCGGTACAGTATAACCAGGGAAGTGTATGTTATTGTTGTACCAGGTGTTTCAAAGCAGACACTGCAGCTTTGTGGGATCGCATACTCGCTAGAGCCGCAGAAGCTTTGGCGCCTTACGGGCGAAGGGAGTAGGCAATCCCACAGCACTTTGGTGTCCTCATTGAAGCATCTGGTTACTTGCAGAGCACTCTAGAAACTGTGCCGGTCTGTAAAATGTCCACGTGATCGGAACCGATTCTTAAGCGCGGTTTACTTTCTCCGTGTTTTGGCTTTTTTGAACTTTGGCGTTCCATACCGGGAACTAGAGCAAAAAGTCTTATTATTGACTGTTCGAGTAAAAACACTAACCAACAATGTTCTGGTACAGAAAAAAAATCACTTCTGGTCATCATCATCGGCTTTTCCCTCGGCATGCCCTGGCATACCATATGGCCAGCCGGTCGACGACAAGCAGCTCGGAGCCGAGGGGAGGCGCCCCTCCCTCCCTCCCTCCCTCCCT